GGCAGTTGAAGCGGTAGTGAACTACATCACCTACCGCACCCCATGCACACAATTGATGCTCGTTTGCCGAATCTCTTAAGATAATGTGGGAAGGGACCAGGGCCAGTGTAGAATTGAGTTTGTGTTCCGCTGCATGTATTAATTAAGGGTGTAACTTTCGGAAAGAACTTGTAGGTTCTCCTCCCTGTGCTTTCCTTTTCCCATCTTTTCTGCCATTCTTGTAAAAGGCGATTGAATTTGATTTTTTTTAAAGTAGGCCTGCGGAACATTTACTGCGTTTTCCAGTCTACTGGAGTCACTGGCTGCAGATTTCGCAAGCATTTTGTTACAGCCCAGTCGCATGTACAAAATCTCAACGCTCTACGGCTACTCGTTCTTGAGTTATGCGAGATACATACATACGTACGTACAGACGTTAAGAAAAATATCTTCAGAATCCATTTTAAATCTATTTTACAATCCTTTTTGGCAAAAACGATTTTTTATTTTCTCCTCACGTTTTACACAGTTTCGAGAGGGGTTGAAATACAATACTTCCTTTATTTCGTACAAGGAAGTAAAAAGGGAAATATTAAGAAAGTAACTATAAATTCAGTTTTAATGGTAGAAAAAAAAATACCAAGAAATTTTATAGATCGTATATATTTATAAATTGCAAGTAAGAATTAAAAATTTTTTTTGAAAAATTCAATTTTTTTTCGCTTAATTTATATTTTGTTTTTGATAAATATTTTACCAATTAAAATAATCCTTTACACAAATATATTACATTTTCCCCCAAAGTGTAATCAATTATTTTTAAAATAATTGAATTTATATATATATTAAAAATTTATATATATATGATATTTAACAAACATTCTTTATTCGTAAAAAACAAATTTAAACATAATTAAAAATTAAATTTAAATTGTGAAATTTTAATTGTAAACAAATATGATATATAATGCAGGTATATATGCTAAACTGACATTAAAATTCGACATTCATATTTCGAAGGAAACCTCTAGATCAGGGGTTCTCAACCGGTGGTACGCAAAGAAGCAAAGTATTAAATTCAAAAATTAAAAGCGCAAAATCCTGATTGAGTTCTTTCTCGAAGACTCGTAAATTTATGCGATTTGAGCTTTGTTCAAGAGTGCCGGTAGTAGAAATACTTTGTAGTGGTGTTACTAAAGGTTTTCAATTTTTGTTTAAATGGTACGTGTTAGTCAAAAGGTTGAGAAACGCTGCATATTTAATTTTCAGGCTTAGAACATACAGTCTGTCTCAGAAAAATGATCGAATACCATAATTTTTTTATACTATTTTAAGTAATAGGAGAAAAGCTTTGAAATAAAATAATAAAGAAGACTTTTTCCTTGAATACACGCTTTCTTAACTCCCTTTTTTTACTAAATAAATTTGAAAACATTAAATAGTAAATTTAAATAATAACGTTTTAGGCTGAAATGGAAAAAAAGATATCACAAAATTAATCGGACATTTTCAGAATTTCTGATTAAAATCATATTAAATAAATAAAAAAGCGAACTTTTATGAATTAATTTAGATAAAGAAGCTGGGAAACAATCTAAAAATCATTTGCTTTTATAATTCGAATTTTCTTTTTAGAGAATATTCGTTATTTTAATGTTTTGTTGCTACGGCTCGCTCACGAAAGGAAACATCTTTAAAAACCCGCAGATTAATTAGAAATTTGCATCAAAATGAAGGGAACCTATTAGAAAAATTGCCGATTTACTTAAGTAATTCTGCAATTTTTGATACCATTAAGCGTTATAAGGAACAGAATTGTATTCAAAACGAAAGAAGACCTGGAACACCATCTAAGTTATCCGATGGAATTATCCGATAGAATGGATTTATTCTCTAAAGAACATTAGGTTGATCTTTACAATATGGTAACTGGTAGTTTGGCGACATTTTGGAGGCGATAAAGGTTACTACCTGGGACTTTGGTAATAATGTGAGCAGTACTCAGTTCCGATTACGCATTATTTTGCGTGAGGGAAATGGAGATCATGGGATATGTCATGTGATATTAATGGACGAATTACGGTTCTTTAATCGGAAAAGGGGGAAAATCGGGAAAAAATGTGGAAATTTTGTATTTAGCTTTATTCTGTGTTGTGTGAAACAGTGTTGTGTAATTTTTGGATCCCATGGCCCTAACTAAAGTGATTCGAAATGGGTATTTAGGCATTGTGATAAAGAGAAGTTTGCTTTTTATTTAGCGGAGGAAGTATGGAGGAAAAATTCGCAGAAAAAATCTTTGAATAATTTTATTGAATGAATTAGAAAAGTGTATCCGCCACGTAATCAAGATTCTGAAGAAGATTAGGTAAGTTAGTATTTTTAATTATTTGAGGATATTATTTTTATGCATTGTTCTAAATGTAAGGTGGAAAGGAATTTGGTATTATTGGGAAAATTGTTATTAGCAATGATTTAGTTTAAAGTAATTAGGATTGTAAGGTAATTTTTATTAATTTAATGTATGTGCTCATTTATATTTTAAGTAGTGTTTTTGAATTTAATTATATTTTAATCAAATGATAGTTTATTTTGTGAATTTTATGTTTGTAGGAATTTGGTATACGTTTAAGTTGAATAAACGTGCATGGAAATAATTTAAATATTTGATACTAAGTATTTGTAATACTTGCGGTATGAATTCGTTGGTGACGTGTATAATGTAATAGATGATTTAGAGGTAAAAGTTTTTGGATATTTTATTTATTTTATATTGTGGAAATGTTCATATTTGTAAAGGCTAAATACTTTTTCGCGATCAGGTAGTTTCATATATGTCTTCTTTTTACCGGGTTTAAAGATTGAGAAAATTGTCATGTATTTTCGTGAAATTTTTTCTAATTTATGAAAAAAAGCAGTGTACATGGATATAGTGAAGAGTGTGCGCAATGCCATTTTTGTGCAATTCTGGGATGTTTTTTTAAGTAAAAATAAGTCGGCGTGTACATGGTTTATGTGTATGTGTTATTTTGAAAAACGCGTAAGGTGTATGGTATTGTGCACTTTTTCCCAATTTTGCAGTGAATATTTGTCATGATTAAGCAGTTTTGTTTGATAAAATTTCTAGCATAAGTGTAATTCGGCTAGTAGATTGTTGGAAGAAGTGTTCAGTAGATAAGAAGAAAAGAAACATGTCTTTACTCCGTGAAGACAAAATGGCGGCGGGGAAGAAAAATAGAGGGTTGCTGTAGGAGAGTTGGTTGCCAAATTTTCGCCAAAAAATCGCCAAGTTACCATAATGTAAAGATCAACCGAACATTAAAAAAATTCAAAGACCGAGTGCTCCTAAACTTGTTGCGGAATTACGTGAATTATAAAGAACATTTGTAAATCTAGAAACGGTAAGAAGAGTTATGCAATCTTCAGGACATCATGGCCGAGTAGAAATTTTATCTCAGTAAAAAAAAAAAAAAAAAAAAAAAAGACCGAAAACTTCCACTCGCTTTCATAAAATCGATGAAACAAAATACTCTCGATTACTGGAAAAATGTGTTGTTTGTTGATGAAAGCAAATTTAACATCTTCGGCTCATATGCACAAGTACTGCTGTGGAGGAAACCCAAAGAAGAATTTCGGAAGCAAAATTTAGTATTAAGCGTTAAGTAAGACCGAAGAGGAGTTAAGGTGTGGAGATTTACGGCATATTCTGGAGTTGGTAATATAGAATTTACACATGGTATCATGGATTAATATAAGTACGAAAACTTAATATACAAAATAGTTTTAAATTCTATTAGGGCAGTGATCCAAAACATACTGCACACAATATCAGACTCTGATATAAGTGTGCATAACTAAGTAAGGCCCCACTGGTAAAATCCTAGTATACGGTGCAGCCTTGGCGCGACTTTGAAAATTATCGCCAACACCAAAAATGATCCAAAGAACGTCTATATATATACTATACACTATATACTATGCGTGTATATACATAGTATATATACTATATGCATAGTATATACTATGTTTAACTATATATTTTCTTTGAATGACCCGTTAACTACTCATATATACTATATGCATAGTATATACTATGTTTACATGACCCGTTATGAATGACATATGCATAGTATATACTATGTTTAACTATATATTTTCTTTGAATGACCCGTTAACTACTCATTGCAATGTCCCGTTTTTACTGCTCATCATAAAGTCGCCAAAAGTAGCCAAATCCCTTGTGCACCGGATACTAGGATTAAACCGCACCACTAATCCTATTGTACATATTTGGCATGTGCAAGAATAAAAAAAATTGAAAACAAAGCATATCTCTTCGCGGCAATAGTTGAAAGCAGTGATTCAAAAGAAATTGCATAAAATAAGTCCAGAAATCCTAAAAAGACTGGTGAAGCAAATGCCAAAAGTTTAAATGACACGATCAAGTGAAAAAGAAATCCCACAAAATATTAAGGAGCAAAAACATGCAAGTTTTTGTCATTTTTGGCTATTACTAAAAGTGTCCGATTATTTTTGAGAGAATATTTCTCCTCGTTAAACAAACAATATTTTTGAATTTAAACTTCATATTTTCGAAAATGTATTTACTATAAAGAAATGTTGAATTTACATATAATCAAAATAAAAGCCTTTCCTTTTTGCTTTAATTTAGTTTTTACGTTTATTAAAATTTATAAATATTCACAGTTTCGTATAAATTTTGTGAGCCACAGTATGTCTTTTACTGTTTCTTTCTTTCTTTTTTTTTTTTTTTTTTTCGGTAGATTTAAAAAAAAAAAAGTGGACAAAGAAGTTTCAAGTGACGTTTAAAAAAATAATGATCATAAGAAATGGGCATTCTATAAGAAAAATCAATTAAAAATTAAATAAATATACTTCAATTCTTTTATAGTAAGCTCTAATTAACATGTACATGATGTTTTTAATATTAGAACTGGAGTTCCAATATTCGCTTTTTATGATCAAATATAAGCAAAGAATTTAAAATAAAACTATTCACTTACTTAAAGATCTTCTTTCTTTAAACGATTTGAGTGCAGCAGGCTTTGTTTCTTTTGGCTGATACAATGAAGTTACCGAAACTATCTGAGGAAGTTGTAAATATTCGCAGCGCAAATCGCATTTTTGGCGAAGTGCTTTAACCATCGCGACGAATTTGGAATCCAGTTTTATATCTTTATCTTCAGAATAATCAGGAATTATTTATAAATAAAGGTTATTTATGTAAATACTATATCCACAGTGCACACCTTTAGAAACTACTATGACGAGGAAACACACCTTCCCTACGTTGAAAGGAAAAGCTCGTGTAATGTTCAGTTCAAAAATCGCTCTCTGAGTTACTTCAGGTGGCGCTGCCGCCTCTGGCATGCAGCCAATCGGAGTCTTTCTTAATATCTCGTGATAGTATTACAAAGCAGTTTTCGCCTCTTTTTACTTACGAGATATTTCTTTTAGGGATATGTATATTTATTTCCGTTTAAAGTAAAACTAATACGTTCATTTAAATATTAATTAAGCACAAAAGGTAGACAGCTTTGCTATAGTTAAAATAAATTAACTGAAATAAAAAGATAATCCTCTCTTCACGAATATTTTTTTTAATTATTTAATGGAACATAATAATATATTCACATCATTATTTCCTATGATGTTACAGGACATTTTAAAATTCGTTACTTGCACACGTATGAACGTATACAGATTGTTCCAAGAAAGGTGGCTATGAGTTTTATTTCCTCAATTATTGATTCTAAGCTTACATTTGAAAACACAAAAATTTGTTAAATTAAGAAGCAGAATTTTAGTAGTCTCAGCCTTTTTGATTGATCAACCTCTATTTCGAATCAAATTTTTTATATGGATCCGTTCCGCGGACTGAAAATACTAATTAGTAAAATATGAATGATTCTTTAATTACGCTGGTCTGTAGCAAAATCCTCCTTATGAAACTCACGGGCATTCTGTTATAGATTCATTTTAAATTATATTTATTTCGAAATTAGCTTAAAAATAAACAATCAAACTTTATTTAGAGATAAGAAAGAGCCGTTACGTACTTAGTGAGTATGAAATAGAAATTTTATTAAATATTGAGCTTTTTTTTTTTATTTATTTTATTTTTTATTATTATTATTATTTCTGGGCGGCAATTCTAGGAAAGTAGGAAGGCAGCCAATAGCCTAGGAGCGGCCCTCGGAGTAACAGAAAATGGGCAACATGTTTAAGTAGAGAGATAACGTGACTGAAGTTAAAGTTGTTGTAAAATCTTGGGCCAGTTACAGATTTAATGCCATAATTGCTTATAATAAGTATGATATTCATATCAAACAAAGAAATAAATTTTAATTAACTATAGGCAAAAATCTTACCATTCTTATTGATCATTAAGATGAAATTAAGCTGATACAGAATTCACGAAACTGAAGTCTTTCGGCGAAACATCCAAAATAAACTTTAATGCGATTCATTTTATAAATGTGAAGAAATTTTCTTCATTTTTACTTCCTTGTACGAAATAAAGAAAGTATTGTAATTGCGAAAACTTTCTGGTATCATATTTAAACGAAAATATCCATTTCAACTGCTCTCGAAACCATATAAACGAAGTTTTGCGTGACATCTGTATGTACGGACAAAATGTTTTTTTTTTTTTTTTTTTTTCCAAAAAGGATTTTTAAAATGGATTCTGAAGAGATTTTTCTTGACGTCTGTACTCCCCCTCCCGGGGGTCGACTTAGAGAACTCTGCGAAGCTACTGGCTAGGATCTGTACCTAGGCAGTCTCGGCCACGGGGGTATAAAATCACGAGCCTGGCGGTTCCAGAGCCCGGGGTTGGGTCATTTGTATGGCTGGACCTCGGGGGAAAGGCGTAAGACGTATACCAGATGGTTCTGTAGCTTGGTGTGGGACGGCACCACGGTGTTGGACGGCATCGAGTTTGCTAGGTAATGACCTGATGGGACGCGCTGCCCGTGTCCATTCCATTCCATTTTCCGCTGTTATACTGGACTTAGCCTGCGTGGATTGCAGGCTTTTTGCCAGTTGTCGTTTAATAAGGGTTCCTGGAAGTACTAAAAACAGAACAAAGGTGTCGCAGAGACAAGATGTGAAAATAAGGGAAAGTGTAGCACTTTGCCACTAAAGAGTGTAACATCGTGGGGTGGTGTAAAATACAAATCAGATACAAATATGCAAAAAAAGTTGAAATGATGAAAGTCAAAAATAAAATATAGTTATTCAGAATGAAGTTCCATAATTGAATCTTGGTTAAATATGAGTATTTACAAATATACAATGTTAGCGTAAAAAGTCAAAAGTGGAGTCATGTCATGTGATGGCTAAGAAAACTTGTTTTTTAAAAATATTTGTCATTCAAATAATGAAAACATATTTTTCTCTGAAGGGTAAGAGTTCCAGTCAATGGATTTCACAAGAGTTTTTCACTAACAGTTCGTGAAATTGCTGCAAAGTCCAAAATTTATGAGCACTGGGCGTGGCATAGCACAGAGTTCATCAGTCTCAGTAGTGCTCAGTTGACAGAAAATATGCAGTTGTAAATAGCTTATTGAGGAATATATACACATTGGATAGAATAAAAATAAGGTTATAAAGTAAAATAATCAGTAAAATATGTACAGACATGTGCAGTCATTTCAGTAGCACTGAGTGATCCAAAGCAGAGATAGAAATTTTCTAAGTCCTAGTCCACGTGAGGGGCCACCCTCCCGAACTGTGGCTTCGAAGGATGCTGCTTGGTTTTGGGAGATTAAGTAGGATGATTATCGTCGGCATTTAATGAAAATGCAGCAAACGGACGTAGAAATTGGTCTTCTGCAAGGATTTCATAGTTTAAGGTTTGAAAAAAGTTTAACTGACTGCAGTTAAATGCTTTTTGAAAAAAGTTTTCGTTGCTCTTGTACAGGAAATCTTTTAAGGTGTCAACACGTAGATCACTATGCAACACAGAGTTCCTCACATAGTAAGGGGCGTTTCCAGCGATTCTCAAGAATTTATTTTGCACAATTTGCAGTTTATTAATGTCGGCAGGTTTTGCCGCAGTCCATGCATGAGATGCATATGTGAGGATGGGTCTCACAGCAGTCAAGTAGATAAGTCGTTTCTTGCGTAGATCAAGATTGGAGTATTTTCCTAAGAATGGGTAGGAGACAATTAATGACTTTTGATTCCTGGCTTGTTAATGTGCGGTGTCCAGGTGTAAGCTTATCATTAATAGTGACCCCGAGGTATTTGGCCTGGCGAACTATGGGAACAATTTCATTAAACAGGAGAAGGTTGTTATTTACAGGGCGGTTTCGTTTTCTTCTTCTGATGAGCAAAGTTGTGATTTACTTGCATTAATTTTGATCTTCCATTTTCTACACCAGTTTTCGATGGATGGGGTGAAGTTCTGTAGGACTTTGATGGCGTGGTTGAGGTTAGCTGATTTCACGGCAATAGCCGTGTCGTCGGCATAGCAGGCAAGGATGGAGTTGGTAGAGCTAATTTTGGGAAAATCAGCAGCGTAGAAAATATACATTACAGGTCCCAAAACACTGCCTTGAGGGATGCCGCTTTTAATTTTCCTTTCAGTGGAGAGAGCATCGTTGACACAAACTTTAAAGTTCCTCTCAGTGATGAACGAGTGAAGGATGCGAAGTAGTTCGGGTTCAAAGTTGTAGCTCATTAGTTTGATAATTAATCCCTCATGCCAGACGCGGTCGAAGGCTTTCGCCACGTCCAACATGAGGATAGCCACATTTTGTCTGTTATGCAGAGCCAAGCCTGCGAATTCGATAATGCGTACCAGTTGTTTAGTAGTTGAGAGATTTCTTCTAAATCTGAATTGCTCCGGAGGAAGTGCATCCAGGTGGTGTTGGATTCTGGAGAGTATGATGCGCTCGAAAATTTTACTGAGGACCGGCAGGAGGCTAATTGGCCTGTAACCATCGGTCTGGGTGTGATTTTTTTCCCGGCTTTGGGATCATGACAATTTTTGCAGTTTTCCATGCGGTAGGAAAAATAACAGTTAGTCAGTGCTGCATTAAAGATACTGGTGATTTTGCAGATGAAGTTAAGAGGCAGTAATTTAATAGATTGATTAGTAATTCCATCAATTCCTGGAGCTTTTCTGGGCTTGAGTTTCTTCATTATTGTAGATACTTCTGCCGGAGTAGTGAGCGGGATTAGGTTATTAACAGTAGGGGAGTTAAGCCATTCTTGAATTTTAATGAGAGTATCTTGTTCAAATTTTGCATCACAAGGGGTTAAGTTAGGCGAGAATTGTTCTTCCAGAATGTGTAGCGAAGGAGTTCGCTTTTTCTTCTTCATTCGTAATGGATGGGTTTCCATTGTGCATAATGGGTCTGTTCGTTGCGTAAGTATTTTTAAAATTTTTGACAATTTTCCAAAGAGAGCCATCCTGAGTATTTAGAGATTAGAGATTTTTTCTGCCCAGATTTCATTTTTGAAGTTATTAATTTCGTATTTAATTTCTTTGCCAAGTCGATTAATCGCGCTTTTGATTTGCGGGTCCCATGTCAGGTGATAGTCTTTGCGGAGCCTATTGCGTTGCCGCATCTTTTCACGTGTGCTCCGGGGGAGGCGAAAAGCATTTTCCTTAGCGCTTAGATGTTCAGTAGCCTCCGTGATCGCTGCCTGGATGGACTGCGTTACGTCACTGATTGCTTTATCGATGCCATTTGTGTCATTAAGATTACCTAGAGCCAAATTGCTTGTCACTAAAACGTTTTGAAAAAGAGTCCAATCAACTTTGGTGTGCGATACTTTCCATTAATTGTCTTTGTGATTCCTAAATATGCCAGTACAGGAAGATGGTCAGAGGAAAGTTCATTTTTCACGTCTAAGACCATAGGAAGTGTCGTTGTGGAAAGTGCAATATCCAGTATGTCTGAAAATTCGATGCGTTCCGGACGATAGGTGAAGTCATCCGGCACATAAATGGAAACTGGATTATTGATAATAAAGTTATGTAAAACTTTGCCATTTAAGTTGGATCTTCAACAGTTCCAAGCAACATTTTTAGCGTTCAAATCTCCAGCTAGAATTGTAGGTAAGTTGGAAGGTAAGAGGTTATTTAAAATTAAATCTGTAAGCTTATTATTAGGAGGGTTGTAGCACACAGTAAAATACAATTTGTTGAATGTTGTTAGCACAACACATATGGTGACAACTTCTATATTAAAGTTTCTTGATGCACAAATTAAACATGAAGAAAAGATATTTTTAACATATATACATACACCACCACCACGATGAGTAGTCCTATCACATCTGCAGTCACTAGCGT